TCAGCTCTAGTTAAGTCTTGTGTTGAGTCCTCCACCGTTACTCCCATTCCCATGGAGGTCTCCTCTCCTCCAAGGTCTCCCATTCCTGCTCCCCCCTCCTCCTGCTAGTCCTCTAGTTTTTACCACTCATCTGATTCTCCAAAGGTGGTACTAGTGGCAAAGACAAAGGTAGACACAAGTTGTTCCTACATCTCCAGTTCAGTCTCAAGCGCTTCCAATCACTGAAGAGGGGACAGGTCCGACATCTCCATCACTAGTATCATCTTTTCCGGACCCTGACCTTTCCATTTCTTTGAGGAAAGGTAAGAAGAAATGTATGGTTCATTGTATTGTATTTCCAAATACCTTTCTTACAGCCTGTTGTTCCCATCCTACTATTCCTTTATAGCCTCCATTTCCTCTCAACCCATCCCAAAGTCATTGACTGAAGCCTTAGCCAAACCAAAGTGGAATGATGCTATGAGGATTGAAATAGAAGCATTTCATAAAAATAATACTTGGGATATTGTTGACTTACCATCTAGGAAGGAACCTATTGGGTGTAAGTGGGTTTACACTATCTAGTATCATGTTGATGGGTCCATTGAGAGATATAAGGCACGGCTCATTGCCAAGGGATATACCCAGGTGTATGGGATAGATTACAATGAGACATTCTCTCTTGTTGCTAAGATGACTTCTATGAGAGTTCTTTTATCTTTAGTAGTAAGCTATGATTGGCCTCTTTATCAGTTTGATGTTAAGAAGCACTTCTCTCTTGTTGCTAAGATGACTTCTCCGTTTTTCCTCGGGGGAAGCGTAGTATGGCTGAGAAGAAACATGCTCAAGTTTACCTTCTTCATAATTTTTAAGGCACCTTGTCGCCTAGTCGCCTAGGCGATGGATTTTTTTTAAGTAAAAGCATATATCCTAGGGTAGTTCCCTAGGTTCCATAACCATCTTTCCTTAATAATTATCCATGTTTTTCATAAGAGAAGTATAAATTTCATGTTTTAAGTTTAGAGAATCAGCATATTATGAGAAGAAAAGGAATAAGGGAAAGAAAATTCAAAAAATATAGGGGCTGAACCCCTACTTTTGTTCTAGGAAAAGAAGAAAAGAAAAGGTGGAAGAAGAATATCTGTAAGAAGAAAATGTGTTGATTAGACAAAATTTTAAGTTCTTCCTTTGCTTATTGGTTCAGGTTCTGAAATCATTGAGGATTCAATCAAGAATCAAAACTTTGATACGATACGCCCCGTATCAGATGTATTGTATTGTATCTTTGGCACCCCAATACACATGTTTACACGTGTTTACAGGAACCCACTTTTTAAAATAATATATATATATATATAAAATGAAATTGAAAACCAAAGAAATAAAAAAGTAGGGAGACTATCGTTATAAGTACTAATACACCTTGTCGGTACCCAGAGGTGTAGAAATACTTTGAACCATGGGTTCAATACAGCAGTTAGCAATGTTTGTGTTGATTAAACACTAACAAATAAGAAAATAATAAAAAGAAATTAGTATATAAACACATAAAATGAGTATTCTAGTTTAATAATGCCTATTTTACAATTATAATGTCAAAAAATGAAAAATATAGAAGTATTTTATAACATAGTGCACAAAACTACTTGGCAACTAGGCGAGGCGAACCTCCAAGGGCGCCTTGTAGCCTAGGCGTCGCCTTGACAACTATGCTCCTTTCTATTCCTGATCCTCCCCCATTTCGTGTTTTCTTTCATGGACACAAGAGCCACCCAAGTTCAAGAGATGTGGAGCATTTGGATGCTATACCACTAGTGCCATTGGACTCCCGGGGACAGATTCTATCCAGCCAAGTACTCTTGTTCCCATTGATATGATTGATCCCATTAACATTGATACTTCTGCTATTAATGACCTAAACCGTTCCATTGCTCAAAGGAAGTGTGTTAGGTCTTGCACCATAAACATCATATTCCCCATTTTGTCTCTTATGAGAACATCTCACCTTCTTTTCGTGCTTTCCTCTCCACTATTGACAGTGTTCCTATTCCCAAAAATGTGGCAGAAGCCCTCTTAGCTCCTGAATGGACATATGCAATGAAAGAGAAAACCAATGCCTTACACAAAAATGGCACAGGGAAATTGGTAGATCTTCAGCTGATGGTACAGTAGAAAGATATAAAGATCGATTAATAGCAAAAGGATTTACCCAGGTGTATGGAGTGAATTATGCAAAAACATTTGCTCCGGTGGCGAAGATGAACTCTATCAAGGTCCTTTTCTCCCTTGTTGCTAATCTTGATTGAGATCTTCACTAGTTAGATATCAAACATACATTTCTCAATAGTGATCTTGAAGAAGAGGTGTACATGGTACAACCTTCTAGCTTCCATGCTCAAGGTAGTGAACAAAAAGTGTGCAAACTAAAGAAGTCCTTATATGGCCAAAAGCAATCAACAAGAGCCTGCTTTGGTAGGTTTCATTTAGTAGTACAACAGATTAGCTACAAGCAATGCTAATCTAATCACACCCTATTTGTGAAAAGAGGGGAAGGAAAGATTGCAGCTTTAATAGTATATGTTGATGACATAGTGATCGTTGGTGATTGGGAAACTGAAATTCAGAAGTTGAAGAAGTTTCTTACTACTCAATTCGAAGTGAAATATTTAGGCCCTTTACGGTATTTTCTTGGGATTGGAGTTGCTCTCTCACAAAAGGGTATCTTCATTTCTTAAAGGAAATACATCCTAGATTTGTTGCAAGATTCCGGTAAGCTAGGGGTGAAACCAGTTGACTCCCCTATTGATCCAAACCGTAAGCTAGGTGATTGTCAAGGTGAAACTATCAAAAATTTGAAGTAATTTCAGAGACCAGTGGGAAGACTTTTATATTTATCCATGACACGCCCAGACATTGCTTATGTTGTAGCGGTCGGTTCTTAGCCAATTCATGCATGCTCCCAAGGCTACTCACTTGGAAGCAGTTGAGAGGATCCTCAGATGTCTCAAGAAATTTCCAGGTGTTGGGTTGTTGTTCCAAAAACATGGGCATTTGAAGGTCGAGGTATATACAGATGAAGATTGGGTTGGACCTATTGATGACAAAAAAAATCCACCAATGGTTATTGTACCTTTGTGGGAGGGAACCTAGTTACATGGAGAAGCAAGAAACAAAGTGTTGTGGCTAAGTCTAGTGTTGAAGTTGAATACCAGGCTATGTCTCATGGAGTGGCTGAGATCACGTGGATTAAGAATTTGTTGGGAGAATTAGAATTTACCGTTGATAATCCCATGTCCTTATATTGTGATAACAAGGCAGTTATTAACATCGCAGCTAATCCTGTGCTTCATGATAGGACCAAGCACATTAAGGTGGGCAAGCACTTTATCAGGGAGAAACTTGTTAGCGAAGAAGTATGTACATACTATGTTAGTTCTGAAGAGCAGCTTGCAAACATCTTCACTAAGGTTTTACATCACTTACGGCATAATGATATGTGTACAAGTTGGACATGCTTGACAATTATGTCCCAACTTGAGGGGGAGTGTTGAAAATGATGTACTTTTTATATATTTAGCATCGCAAGGGCACTGTTGTAATTTCTCCTGTTTTATTTGGTCACCCTAGTATATAACATAATGCTGGTGCCGCCAGCATAGCTTTTTGGCCTCTCATTCTTTTCTCTCCTTTTCTTCTCTCTTCTCTTCTCTTCCTTCTTCTCTTTACTGTTATTTGCAGCATAATAAATCTCAAGAGTGGGTAGCAGGAACCAAAAAATAAACAAGTAAAACAAACACATCAATCAAGGAAGGAGATGAAGAATCTCAATCTCCCTACTCTGATACCATAAAAAGGTTGCTTTAATATGGTCAGAACAGAAAGATAAAGAGAAAGAGGAAGTGAAAAGGCAAGAGAGAAATAAAGGAGAAGACAGATTAGGGAAAGAAGTGATCAACCTGCTTAGAAGAGAGAGAGTTAATCTATCTTCTAGCAGCCAGCTCATATATACTCTCACTAATATTGATCAAAAAAAATATACTCTCATTAATTAAGTCACAATTACATAAATATCCCTATTTAAAGAAAATTAAGGACAAAAATTTCCTTATTGAAGAAAGAGAAAGATCTAAACTACCCTGCCGCCCAAGTACATATTTATATACATATTTCAACAAAAGTGAAAGCAAGAAGTTGCATTAAAATAGATAAACCATTACTTTGAAGTTATTCCAACTATAGGTATGGGTTGAGGAGTGTTTAGGAGTCTTTGGTTTAGGGAAATAAGTCCATGCAAGATCTATAATATTGCTGCAAAAGAAAATGACAGGATTGAGGCTAGAATTTTGCCTCTTAGGTTCTTTCATTTGAGTGATGCTCAAAATCTCATCTTCTTTTGTGTGACTCCAGCGAGAGCCTTATAATGAATATGCTATGACTCAATATTTGATTCTAGAAAAGAGTTACGACTATTCTTTCTATCTTCTTCTACCATCCTTTTCTCTTAATTATCTATTCACCATTCTCATTATCTAAGCTAAGCCTAGTCCCAACTATGTGGGCTCGCCTACATGAATCCTGTTTTCCACTATTTGGTGTCATATTCATGTCAAGTTATGAATTTATGAGTGTTTAAACCATTTCTTACTATTTCAACAGATGTCCTTCACTTGCAATTCCTCCCTATCTGTGTCCCTTTTATTCTTCACTTGTTGCCACTCCTATATCAGACCTCCTTGCTTCTTACTTGTGTTGACTTTTTATATTTTTTCTGTTTTGCCCCTGGTTTTTAACTATACACCTGCCCCTGTTTACTATGTCAGAAAAGTATAATCAGATGAATAACGAAACAATTGCAAACCATTCAATTCCAAATTTAAACATTAATACTTAAAAAGTATAAATTTCATTACAATAATATAGACACAGAATTATATGTTCAACAAGTGCTATAGAACTTTACAGTATGACCTCAATTTCAGAAGTCAAGAATATAACATCTATAGTAGACTTTTATTAAGTACCTGGTTCAGTATAACCAAGGCATTTAGCCTCTGTAACAACTTGGCTAAATGGTTTTCCATCTTCAACTTCACTCATTACATAACCTAGTGTACCTGTTAAAATTGCATAGGAAATAAAGATCACAATCACAAGAAAGCATCAAATAATCCACTGAAAATACATAAACAACAGAACCCTTGACCAATTCCATACCACTCAAACTCCCAATAATCCGATGAACTGGATCCCCAGATGCAAGTAAGCGGTTCAAAGAGGTTATGACAGGAAGACCAGCACCAACCTAGCAAAAGAAACAATTCTGTACAAGGTTGGTAAGCTCAAATACTCACTTCAGATAAACCTGAATATTGAAGAAGACACTAAAAAGATATGCAGGATGGAGTCATTGCTTGGTGTAATGGTAAATCTTGGACTGGCAAGAATGAGAATGCAGGTACAAGTTCAATGTCACGGTGGATGAGAAGAATATCGATATATATTTTTTGGTAATAAAAGGAAAAGTTTATTAATAGATAAAGAGGAAGTCAAGATGAATAAAACATCCAAAAGAAAAACACAACACACACACACACACACACACACACACACATATATATATAATTGTTTAGTCTAATTCAATTCTATAGAAACTCCACCCATTCCCCTATCTCCCAGTCAAAGAGAGGCCTTCTGAACTTCAGGTACAGTTTTTGAAGCTTGATCCACAATTTCTAGAGATAAAATAGAAATTGATCCACAGTTTTTGTTCAGAATGTAAACTTAAAGTAATAATAGGCATTGAAAGAGCTCCATATAACTCCAAGTTAAATACAAATACCAATGGTTCATAAGACACGGGGCATATCACTCAGGATTGATAATGAATTTCATGTTTGAACACATGCACTCAGCTTAACCTAGGACATCCATCACCAGTCACGTGCAATCCACATATATTGCAACCTCTGTTGTAGGAGTGAAGCCTGAAGCTATTCCAAGGAAGACAGAAGTTTTATCAGATGGCATGTCCCATAGTATCTAGATTGCAACCTATGCCGAAGCTGCTCTCTGGAGCAGAGGACGCAGGGTGGAACATGAACAGTTCGAAGAAGATGAGCTACATGGCAGGAAAAGATTGGACAAATCGTTTTTCTTGGACCCTTGTTCAGAAAAGGGTTTGGAGCACACTCTGGTAGCAGGACCTTCGCACAGGCATTAGTTGTTGGAAGAGATGAAACGCCACCTGCACAGAAAACTGTTTGCATGCAGAGTAGAACTAAGGAGGTGGGCCAACAGATTTTTAGGAGGCTCAAGTGGGGTCGGTGATAAGATTGGACTTAAAGTTGTCTCAAGTAACCACAAAATCAAAATTGGTATGGAGTGTTTGGGGTCTGGTTGAACTGTTCTATTTGAACCAGCCCATAAAGTACATGAAGTTTTAGGAAGTCACATGACCCAACTGAGAGATATTGGGGAGGATATTTCTTCTCCCCCAATCAAGGCCCCTGTGAATAGTTCAGACGTTGAGAAATGTTTAACCTCAGGACAAAACACCACAGGTTTCAACCCTGTGATTGGTGTGAGAGGTGCAAAGAAGGCTGATGGGAGAGTGAAGGGTTCTTCCGGTGAAGGTCCAACAAAAAGTCCAAAGGTTTCTGGTAGGTGGGAAAATCAGCAAAGCTTTGATAACAGAGGTTGTCAAGGCTTGCTGAGAACTTCAAAAGGAAAACCAAAGATGCGAGTGAAGAAGCACATTATAAGGAGAAAAATCAGACTTGAAAGCAAAAAACAACATCTGAGAATGGGTGCCTACAAGGTATGTGAAAGAGGTACGTTCATACAGTCTTGGCTGCAGGGAGGTTGGTGATACAAGGGAGGCAGAATAATTGATAAGTAAGAATAATGGCGATGGTGAATTCAGGTCAGTTTTATTTGGTCGAGAAGTCAGCGACAGTTTCTCAAAAGCCCAATAATGTCTCAGCAGCAGATGTGGTTTCACAGACAGATGGTGTGTTGATGGAAGAGTGGCTTAAACACAAATGGAGCTTGAAGGTGGACTCCAAGAGGGAGTAACACATGATTTAGATTGTAATTTACATATCAGGGAAAGAGTTGAAGAATTTAGGGAGGATAAAAAAGAAGATGAAATAGGAGATCATATTGAAGAGGAAAGGGAATTTGGGGTCGGGAGTGGTGTGAAGGAACCATCAGTTGCAAAGGTGTACAAGAGAAAGAGGAAGTATTGACAAAAATAAGGAGATAAAAATGGAAACAGCAGCTAAGTCTTCTTAGACGAAACTCGCGATATCAAAAAGAAAATGGAATAGGAGACAGTGGTCAATAAAGAAATGGAAGTTAGTAAAATATTGGGTTTATTTTTCTTGGGGGAGAGGAGTTTGCTAGGAAATCATTCAGGGAGGTGGAAGAAGAACCTTGTAGGAAAATGTAGAACAAGGAAGAAGATAAGGTAAATTTTGGCCAGGGGGTTTCATGAGCAAGTTGGAAAAGAAAGAAGGGCCAAGAGGTTCTGAAGTCGAAGAAATGGTCTGTGAAGATTCTGGAGAACAGGAGACCATTCAAACCTTTGAAAATATATGTGGTGTTGGAATTAGAGAGATTGATTGATTGTAATAAGGAATTAGGAGAGAGTGAGCAACTGCCTAATTCCGTAAGAAGATTTAGAGACAAGAAGAAACTTTGAACTGTTCAAGTCTCAAGAGTTTTCAGCAACTTTGAGAGGCCTTGCAAAGGGGTTTGGGTTTTGGAATTTTTTTAGCTGGGGTTAGGGTGTTGTTTGATGGGTTGTTTTCTTTTTTCGGTAGTTGAAGGGTTTTTCCTCTGTTTGTTTGGGTGGTTTTTGATGAAGGGGAATTTGGCCCGACCTCGTGACAGGGAGACACGTGGACATGACTCGGCATAAGCGACAACTCGACATGGTCAGATCGGCACGTGGATATGACTTGGCACAGGTGACAGCTCATCATGATCAGTTCGCTACAAAGTGACTTTGGGTACCCTGATACCCCGAACTAAGGACACCCCGAGCTAAGAGCATCCCGAACTAAGATCGTCTCGATACCAGGTTGCGACCAGGATAACGGAACCGAGTTCACTATAGATCAAACCCGGACAGATGAACCACCTTGATCAAGACTACCTCGGCACAAGATCACACCAAGACCACCTCGGTCCAAGGGCACTTCGGCATTCGTATCAGAACAGACCTAAAGAGCACGAGATCGGGAAGCTAGCCACCAATCAGCTCGCCATCAGGCAGCCCGGTACCTTACAGGCAGCTCGCCTCCCGTTCAAAACGACCTCCGCATGACAACCCCGAGGATCTCGCCACCGTGTTCCGCGTCCTACGGGATCGTACCTCGCAACGGATATATTAGCTCACCCACTCCCCGGTTTAGACAGGAGAGGGCAACCTTACCGGTTGGTGACATTTTGCCCACCTAACACGCAAGCGGATCCCATCACAGCGAGGATCCAGGAACCACTCCACCAACCCACAAGGACTCCAGTATATAAAGACTTCACCCCCCAGGGGCAAAGGTATGTTCTTTTATTGTTGTGTGTGTAATCTTTGCTCTCTAGCTCCCTAACTCACTATTATCATCTTCAAGCTCTCTACTACCACTGTGTTCTAACTTAGCCATCGGAGTGTCCCCACCGGGTGAGCCACCCCGGGATCTCTGACCCCTCTCTTGCAGACTACCCAGTTCACGTCATTGCTGGCAGCCAGATCATCTCCAGCAGGGAGCAGCCAGATTACGCCACATCAGTTTTATTATAGATGATGTGTTTGGGCTTGGTTGGAAAGGTTATGGGTGGAAGGTTTGGTTAGGTGTTTGTTTTCTTTTCTCCCTTGGATGATGCCTACCTCCTTGCTCTACATTCTTCTTTTCTTAATAAAGTTTCTTTTTCTATTTATCTTCAAAAAAGAATCCATAAATATTGCAACATCAAGAAATGAACATACTTACAGTTGATTCATGACGAATGTGGCGTGGATGTGAGACCAATTTCTCATAATCCTCCTGCACAACAGATTGTATAAGGATTTTCTTTAGCCATTTGAGGGACTAGATCATGATAATCAATAGAATAATTGCTGAAGAATGGGAAAAATGAAAGCACCATTTGATCTGCAGGAAGATCAAAAGTTGAAATTTTTGTCTTTTCCCATTTGGTAGCGAGTAGCCCACTAGATGAAAAGATGGATGCTTTAGAAAGATGAGAAGGCTGGATTTCAGGAAGCTTCAAATGAAGACTCTGAACTTTCCAAGCCCTTGTCTACTCAATAAAGCTTGGTCATTGGTCAGTACGTTTGCAAAACTCCCACATGTGGCACGATCAAAAGTTCATGGGTTCTCTTCCCAACCCCCCATTTTTCACTTGTCTGGTTGCTCTCGATGCCACTGAAGACACAGTGGAACCCCCACCAATCCAGTGTAAGCTCTTGTTTCTATTCCTTTCTCTCCCATGACTTCAAGTTTCATTTCTAGAGTTTCAATTAGTTGTCTGGTGTTCTTTCTGTACCTCAACCATATGGCATATGCAATGACGTTCTTTGTTCTTGTATCTTCATATTTCCATTCCATATAGAGTTTCATTTTCACATTATTATTCATCTTTGCATGTTCATTTGGCTATGTTCTATTCTAGGGTTTAACCTCTAATGTAGGTTTTCTTCTTCATATTTCCATCTTCTTGCATGTTTAATTTCTAGCCTTCTAGGGTTTTTTGTGTTTCGATCTTTGTATTAGCATGTTCTTGCATTCTGATTAGTAGTTCCTTTAACCCCCAATATAGGATTCACTATTTTGTTTCATTTCTCTGTTATTCACGAATGCATACGAGCGCTTAACTTCTACTTTAGCCTCCATGTTTACATCAGTTCTATGTTCATTCCATGTAAGTATCGGTTAACATGCATTCTTCTCTGTCTTCTCCATAACTCCTGAATACACTGACTATTTATAGCTTTGTTTCATTGAAATGTATAAACAGCATATTGTTTATTACTCTGTATATAACCTCTATTTTTAAGTTATTAATGCAAACCAACGTTTTCTTGTGTTAATAAAGTCCATTTTTCCTTTTGCTTTGAATATAATTGATGGATCATTTTTAATAAAACCATTAAGTTCCACCTGACATTGATCATTCCACCGGATAATTTTCCTTGAGAAGGCTTATGGATGAGATGGTGGCTTTTGTTTCTATGCAGTCCAATGGCTTAACTAGTTGAGATGGTGGTCATAAATTTTCAGAAAATTATAGTATATTTATGGGATTAGAATTACACAACTCATTGGGATGGTGGTTGGTAATCCACAACCCTGTAATAGAGATCCTCATTCAGTGATAAAGGGTATGGACAAAGGAATTGTTGTACATGTTTATTTTTTTGTGACTGTTTTTATGTACCTGAGGGGACTTGAAGAAGTGAACTTCTTTGGGCTGCTGATATTTATAGGATATGAATCGGAAACATTTTATGAGAGATCCATTAATAGGGATTGTAATGAGTTGTCCCTAACAAGTATGTCATCTAGTTTAAGAGCAAATCAGACTCTATCAACAAGAAGTGCAAGAAGAGTGCAAGTATCTAACATTGAAAGACAATTTGAATAATAATGGCAACTATCCTTATTTATATGTTGTTGCATCTTTTGATCCAGTTTCTCATACATCAGATATGTTGTCTTAAATACTAATAACAAGTTATCACAGCACGAGGGCAACAACGCAAGGCTCAGAATATCACAGATGCAGAGTGGAGTGCATTCACCGCTAGCATAGAAGCAGTGCAGAAGCTGGGAATCAAAATGGTTTCTTTATTTTCTGATGCACAGAGTACAGTAACTACAGAACCACTAACCAAGATAGCAGGCTGCAGTTCTTAACTATGTAATTTACTTATCAGCTGCTATCTTCTTGTTAGCAGTCCTTATTATTATTGAGCTTAATTGTTGACTTCTAACGCCTGCAGCTCCTGCTCATATCTTGCTTATCTGTTTTGCAGCTACAGGTTCGTTAGTTCAACAATTTGGTTGTTTCAAGCATTTCATCTTGATCAACTGTTGAACCTTACTGATTGAGACTTCAAACTTCCGCTGCATATCATTTGTCATAAGGCTTAGATTCAGTTTGAGGGGAAGGGTCTTGAGCTTGATTGTCAAGGGTGTAAGAATTCAAATAGAATTCCAAGACAATCAGATTTTTAGAGCTCTACCCAATTCACCCCTCCCCCCGGTTAAGGCCATCGGTCCCAACAGTCAATTTGCTAGAAGAGTTAGATGGGTGTAAATGGTCTTTGCTATGAAGTATAGGGCTGAAGATTAGATTGAGAAATACATGTCTAATTGGTGATAGAAAGGTACAAATATCTATGGGGTAGATTACTTAGAGACCTTTACTCTTGTAGCAAAGAGGAACTATATATGAGATTTATATCCCTTGTTGCTAATTAGCTTCTATTATACAGTGATGTGAAAAATGGTTTTTCGAATGGAGACTTACAATAGGAGGTTTATATGGCTCTTGTCCCTGGTTCTTTAGTAGCAATGTTGAGAAGGGGGAGGTCTATAGATTGAAGAATCCTGCATAGGCTAAAGCAATCTCCTTGAGCTTTATTTGGTCAGTTTAAAGAAACTCCTCTAACAAATGGTGACATACAAGCATAGTCAGACCATACATTATTTGCTAAGAGGGATGGCGGCTTACAGAATTCATCATTTATACAGATGATATTATGGTGGCAACGAATGATATTACATAAGTTGACAAGCTAAAGATCTAGGTGAACTCAAATACACCTTGGGAATTGAAGTTGTTAGATCTTAAGCATGAGATCCTTATCTTGTAGAAGAAGTACACCCTTGATTTGTTGAAAGATAAAGAGAAGCTAGGGATCAAACAAACTGATATTTCTCAATTAGAATCACAAGTTGTATGCCTCAAAGGAAAAGGCTAGAAGATATGGGACTGATTCAATGGTTGGTTGGAAGGATGTTATACCTATGTATGGCCAGGGAGGATATCACATATGCAGTTAATGTTATTAGCCAATAATAATTATCAAAAAAAATGTTATTAGTCAATATATGGACACCCCTATGAATGCACATTTGGCAATTGTTCAGAGGGTTCTATCTTACTTGAAATGGCATCCAAAAAAAGGCATGTGTTAGAAAACCATGGGCAATTAAGATTGGAGCTTTCATAGGTCAAGGTCAAGCTAGTTTAGTGGAAGATAGGCAGTTTACCTTAAGGTATTGTACACTAGTTAGGGCCTTAGGGGTAAACCATTGCCCTAGAGTAGCAAGAAGCAAACAGAAGTGACTTGATCAAGTGCAAAAGTTGAAAATAAATCAATAGCTCTTGGAGTTTCTAAAATTCTTTGATTGTGGTCTCTAATAGAAGAGTTGGGGGTTGATCATGCAAAACCAATGATGTTGTACTACAATAATCAAGCAACTATAAACATCACACATGATCCCACTCTACATGATAGAACAAAGCATGTTGAAGTAGATAAGCATTTTATCCAAGAACATGTTTCAAGAGAGATGTGTCTTCCATTTGTCACCATTAAGGGGCCCTTAGCTGATGTTTTCAGGTGTTGGCAAATCTAAGTCGATTATTGATGTAAATAAACTGGGCATGATCAATATATATGCTCCGATTGAGGGGTGTTAAGAGGTTATATTTGTCATTCTATCACTTTTTTATCTTTTGTTTTGCCTGATCAGATGTGTAAGGTTAACCAGGCATGTTTGTCATTTTGTCCCTTTTTAACAGACACAATAAAAGGAAAGAAAGGGGGCAGCAGACGACCCCACATTCTCTCTTCTCTCAAAAACAGCTTTCTCTCCTCTTGTCTCTCTACACTCTCCTCTCTTCTTTCTTCTGCTGCCACACATTTAAACCAGATTGTTCTTCATTTAGTGTTAGACAAGTCAAGTATTCTAGGAAAAATTACCATTGGAGATGTAAGAGGCTTCTTGTTTGCTAGCACAATGCAGCAACCAAGGTCAACAGCTTGATTTAGTATTTCAATAGTCTCAGAACTGGCAGAGCAATCAACAAATGTCAAACCTGTAGGGAAAAGAATCAATAGAAACATATGTAATATGTTATTGTACATTGATGAAATTTGAGAGAATGGTATGAGATAGGATGAAAGAAAACCCCAGCCTAATAATAGTGCCCATGTATTTTTATATAATTATTATCAAATTGAATTAATCAACACTTGAAAAGGTCATCCTCACTGTGAGGAAATGTAGCCAATGTTTAAATTTCCAAAGGGGATGTGAGAACATTGTCATGGATAGACATACTAGCAATGGAAAGAACCATTTTACTATCAACATGCTACAAACCAGTTGTTCTGCCCAAGTGACTGGCAATATCCACAACTTTTTTCACTGATTCCAAGTTGCTGAATATCTGACATTCACCACCTAAATCACGTAAACAAACAGAATTAAGAAAGAATATACATTTGATGGATCATTTTCATTGGTTAACTCTTCAGATGTTGACTTTAACATCAAATTTTCAAAATTCAGTTAACACAAGTAGTGTGCATATATAATATAGGAATCAAAATGAAGTAATAGAAATAATAAACCTAGAAAAGGACAACTACCCAATAATGGTCCCTGCCATCCAAGATCTCCTTTGGCGTTTTTTTCTTTGGCACGAAGTGGCCACTCTAAGACTTGAATATGTATCAGCCCAAGATTTTATCATTACACCAAACATTGCTCCTTTAAAAAACTTCTGAACTAGAACCTTACACATAAAGATCTATAGTAAACTGGTCATTACAAGGACCATTATATTATATTACCTTTGCTGCCCAGAATTGACAAAGAAGAACCAGATGACTTAACCCGGCAAATTTCTGTCAAGAAAGCGTCATCTAAACCCCTTGTGAATACATCTGATGCTACAACCACTGATTTGCTGTCGCATACTCCCACAACACGCAAAAGCACTCCCTATTTCAAACAGTATGGAAATCTCAATAACACAAGTTCCAATTAAAGGTAACAGAAATAAAACCATCGAAGAGGAACATCATAATGTAGATAAAGGAAAACCTGGGTCATCAACACAGCCAAGTCCAAAGTAATAAAAACAGCATACGTGCAGATAGATCAGGGCGCATTGTTGGATAACTCCTAAAACAGAAACTTTGATATAATCCGTGTTAATTCAGACCATCTATTACAAGACAGGCTCCTTATTCTTTGCAACAGAGTTCTGACTGACTAAAATAAGGTATTGGATCACTTCCAAACCAGAGACTTCTTCAATTCAGACTGTTTCCATCTGTTTGTTTCAATGCTGGTTTGGGATGCTTTGGGAGTTTGTGTTTGGATTTTGGTCTTTTGGTTTTTTTTTATAATAGGCCTTGTTTTTCTGTTTGTAAGAGTTGGGAAAGGAAGTTAGGTATTTGAAAAGATTGAATGGTTTGGGTACAAGTTTTGTTTCTTTTCGGGTGATATCTTATCACCTAGGTGTAATTGTTTTTCCCTTCTTTTCTAATAAAATTTTCTTGTTTAATTTACCTTCAAAAAAATGAGTTCAGACCTCATAGTTTAACAATAGAAATGGCACTTAACAAGTGGAATGGTGGAATAGGATTCAGCACACTCAACTAAGTTCAATCTGAACTTTTGTCCCTAACCAAATTTCTAAAATTTTAGTGCAATCCATCCTAGATATCAGGTCATATGGTCAAGTCCGTATTGACTATCCCAGGTTGCATCCCAAGTTTCCTCCTCCTAAGGGATCAAAGTGATTTATACACCTCTAGGTCTAAGTCTAATTCCCAGACAATCAAAACAGTGATATTAATAGATTTGCTATGCAAATTTCAGCTGTGTACAGTGTGATGAGTTTGCATGTTCTATTACACGTTTGAATCTCTATTCACATATATAGACAGGGCAATAAGTAGAAAAAAAGAAGAAAGGAATGGATAACTATACTGGTGTTCTACCCAAAAAAAAAAGTGAACTATACTGGAGTGTAACGTATCACCAACCATCTAAACGATAAAAAAAAGGAAAAAATAACTACCAAAAAATCGATGGATGCTAACAAAGTTAGTAGAATTCTCTTCTGCAGTCAAGTTCATGAGAATAGAGGTTCTTCTTTTTGCTCTATTCTCCAAACAAATAGAACATTATTAAATCCAATCCATTATGCAAATAATTCTCTTCTCCACAACTGCAGTGAGAAGTTGTAATTTCTTCTTCATTCGACTACAGAATCAATTGAAAGATGACTCTATATACGATAGGAACCGGAACACTTAAAAAACTAGTTTTCATTTCCATGCATCCTAGAGACACTTAGAAAAACCAATTTAGATATTATTACCTCCCCATTTACTTCACTCAGTTAAAACCCAGAAAGGACCCCCCTATTTTCTTATTAAACAGTCCATTTGCTCCGTAGTCAAAATGTCAGAAAGCCGCTACTTGAACCAGTAGGATGATCATGATGTTCATTGTTTCAGAGGGAAACTATTGTCTATCTCACATCCAGCTATCTTAGATACCTGTTTGGCATGAAGAGATCTGCAACTGACAATGTGTTGGATGAGCTGTCGCCCAACGCCTCCACAACCCATCAGAATCAATGGAATGGTCTTCATCTCCCTCTCTCTCTCTCTGCTATTGTTAATCACTGTGCGTTCATGTAATGGCTCCTAGTCCCAGTGAGATGAAGCTTATAAGAGATGCCGCGAGAAATACAGAGCTCAGTTTTGTTTTCCACTTTTCATTTCTTTCATCACACCTAAAATAGTTGTATTTTCACAAATGACAATGTTGTGCGCGGGTCGGATGTCAGTTGCTTTCTTTTAGGCAAATGGGCTTAACAGCAATGGGGCAAGCTTCCCTCAAAACCCCAAAACCAGCGTTTTTAACTCGCGGTCGAACCGATCATTTGGATCATGGGTTAGACCGTTATATGTTGGTTTTCTGTTTTTTCTTATTTTCTAGACATGTTTACCATATCTATAAAAAATTCTAAAAATTCTTATTTGTCACATTTATTAAATTTACCATACTGCTGTGAGACAATAAATTTGTAAAACGCATAGACTCAATTGACCGGACTTGAACCCGAATCAAACCATTTGATTAATGACTTACACCGACTTAATATAAGAATATTTTAAAATAATAGCGTTTGGAATGTGGAGAAAGATTAAGATAGAAATAGAAAGAGATACAGAGAGATGTCAAATGATCCATTAGAGATATGCCAAATAGTATTTAAAATATTTTTTAAAAAATATTTTGGTGGAAAAAGATAATTTAGGAGAAATTTTAGGAAATGGACATATTTTAGGATGAGTGGTTCAATGAGATTTCACCATTAATAAGAGATATAAACAATCCAAAAAAAAAGAAAAAATAGAATGAGGATTTTGGAACGCGACATGGCTTAATTTTTTTTAGGGTAAAAGATTTAAACCCTTTTAATGTTTTTCTTAAATACTTAAATCTCCCCTCTTAAAAGAAAAAAAAATAATTGGATTCAGAGTTTCAGACCTCCCATATTGGGTGACAACATAGGAAAAAGTATGCCTGTAAATGTAGCGAATTCAAATTGAATTGTCCATGTTCGAATTCAATTCCAATTACAAAATAAGTGATTTGAATTCGATTCGAAATCAAACAGATATTCAAAAATCTCAATCGAATTCGATTTTGATTATAATGTCAAATAATTGATTTTAACTGATTTTGTAGAGAAAACTGTAAATCTAAAAACCAACATAAAGAGAAACAACCATCACATGTAAACAACACAAAAAAACTCAAAAAATAAAATCATCACTTGTTAACTATGCAAAACAAAAACCTCAAAAAAAACTCATAATCCAAAGGAAATAAGAAATGAGAGAGAGAGAAATTGGATAATGACCCCAATCAACAGAAGTTGAAGTTTAATCTTCATAAGCCCTTTTGTCTTCAATAGAAGATAGTTCTCCTTACTTTCTCTTTACACTTTTCATCCTCAGTGTGAAAGGTGTTGTAGGAAAAAAAAAAAAAAGAGTGGATAAGGCCTGTCAATTAAAGTGGTTGTCAATCAAGAACAACTTTTGTTTGTCTTTTGTAGTAAGTAGGTACAAGTGATGCTTTGGGTCATGTGTAAAGGGTGTACCACAAGTTAGTGGAATTAGAATATAATATATTTGTGTATATTTTATAATATATTATTGAATTTGAATATTTATCTAATCCAATTAGTATGTATTTGAATTCGACCATTTATTCCACTCGAATTTGAATTCGAAATTACAGATATTGTTTATATTATGGTAACGTGGAATTTCTAGAAATTCTCTCAACAGCATAGGTCGTTGGCCCCCAACAGCTAAAGTTTTTTCCCATGAGTCATCAGTTCAATTGTTCGAGTCGAATGGGTTAGACTGTGCTATGTCGGCATTTTATATATTTACCTACATGTATAATTATATAGATATATCTATACTACTTTAAAAAATACGAATGACCTCAAGAATATTTATGGAATTTTTTAAGGACAATATTTACTTGTCTACATTTAAATTTATTGATAAAAAATGAGGGCAAATAGGATAATCGGTTATTGATATTAAATGAGTTGAAAAGAGGTATTTTAAAGATATTCAATGCATTCAATTCTCTGTCATTAAATCCAACATTTAAGTTATTAACTTGCATTCATGTTCATTGAATCATATATTTAACTTATTTTTATTTATTCTCATCATTAAGTTCTATTAATTAAATACATACTTAATAAATAAATAATTCCAATAACATAAAAGCTTATGCTTTTAAAATCTACCTAGCAAAAAATAGTGTTTTCATTTAAGTGGTGGTAAGAAATTAAATTATTTTGGGTCAAATGGGTTAATCCATGTTGTCACGATTAAATAATAAAATTAAAAAATAGATAAAATGAAAAAAAAATATATAAATTAAAAAAAATGGGAACATTTTTAACATACATATTAAACAATAATTAGTATGATAAATAAGAAATGTTTTTATTAATGATGAAAATGGAATATAAAATTTAAAACCAATTTGAAATAAAAATATTTTCCTATTCTCTCCCATTAAATCCTATATTTAAGATATATTTCTCTCATCTTTAAATTCTTGTAATTAAATCCACAATATTAATTTTAATATTATAAAAATTAACATTTTGAAAATTAATATGAAAACAACACAATTTTCTTCCCTCCCGGTGGTGGGCAAGCAATTCGACCATTTGGGGTCAAATGGATTAATAAATAATGTCATAATTAAAATATTGGGTACAAAGAATCACAAGAAAAAAATGATAGAGAAATTTTTGGGCACATATCTAATGTTATATATTTATAAAAAATAAAATATTTGGTACATTTCTAATATTATACATTCATTATATTGAATAAAAATAAGTTTTATACATAAGAAATAATTTTATCAATGATGGAAATGTAATACAAAATTTAAGGTCAATGTAGAAACCAAACAATTTTTATTTTTAAATGGTGAGTTAGTGGTTTGAGTAAAATTATGACGTAGACAAATAAAAACCAAGTGTGATAAGTAACAAATATTTTATATAAAAATGTAAATGAAATATATAATTTAAAGGGAAATTATAGTCAAAGTTGGTTGTACATTTAAAATTAGGTTACAGGTTGGTCCAAAAACCAACAAAACTTTGACAACCGGCTCTACATTTCAAATTATAAAACCCCCCCGCCATGTCATTAGAGGCTTATGTGGTTGTTGCCAACATGGGACTCTTAATCCATGTTGGACATAGCAAAAAAACCTATATCAAAAATAGGTTTTCAGTTTCTCTCCCAATCTCTCTGTCTCTCAATCTCCCTCCCTTCTCTCTCACTCTCACAGTCATCTCTCAATCTCCCACTCCTTCTATCTCTCCCACTCTCTCGGCTTCGGTTTGTAGCAAAATCAAACCCCCTCTCTCTTTCCCCCTCCCCTCCCCTCTCTATTGTTCTCCCTCAATCTTTCTCATTCTTCTCCCTCACTCTCCACCTCAAACAATATTTCCTTTTCCCTCAATCTCTATTGTTCTCCAGTTGGTGTAAATTTTATAGCCAAGAGTTTATTGTGAAATTTTTTATCAAATTGGTGTAATAATTTTTGAACCATACCAAGTTGGTTTCATGTTCTTTTATACGATTTGATTAATACCATATAAGTGTGTAAGAAAAAAAAAACGAGAGAGGGAAAGGGAGAGAAATTGAAGGAGAACGAATAAAATTAAGGGAGAATGAGAGATTGACCAAGAAAGAAATCGAGGGAAAATGATAGGTAGTGAGAGGGAGAGAATGAATTAGAGAAATTGATATAGAGAATGTAATACAGAAAACAAAACCATTTTTTATTTATTTTCAAATCACATAGTCGTTGAGCAAATAAAGATGACTGCGAGTGAGAGAGTGTGAGGGAGATTGAGAGAGAGAAAGAAACTAAAACCCTTTTTTTATTTTTCAATCACCCAACATTAAAGAGCAATTTCAGTATAAGATTTTTTGTTGTGTCCAATATGGATTAAGAGTGTCATGTTGGCAAAAGCCACATAACCCTCCGATGACATGGCGAGGGTTTTTATAATTTGAAATGTAGAGCTGATTGTCAGTCGGCTCCGACTATAATTTTTCCTAATTTAAAACTAATCCAAAAGCAATGTTATTTTCTTATCTAGATGGTGGGTCAGTGATCCGACTTTTCAAAGAAACACATGATATCATAATTGAATAATAAATATTTAAGTTTATTTTTAATCATATTGTTACTTTTGTTAATTTTCAATTTCTATATTAACTATGATATATCTAAAATTCAAGTGATTAATATGAAGAAAAATTTATCATGTGCAACGCATGTGCTTAATTACTAGTGTATATAAATACATATTTTCTATCAATAAATAATATGTAATTATATTCTACATGTAATAGATGCATTATTTTATATTTAATTTATAAATTAATTCAGTTTTTAATCTTTATTTGTAAAACATTAAAAATTGCAATTTGATGTCAACAAAGGGTTTTTTTTTCACGAAATAGTGAGACAAGGTGCCTATGGCCCCTTGGTATGCATAGATCTCAAAAAGTTAACAAAAAAAAGATCACCCCAATCATTTATTGGAGCATAATGTTATGGCCTCCAGAAGTTTGTATACATATTTAGTGTGCAACCTATGATCCATGGTTTTCAAAACCGGACCGGATCGGATCGGACAGTCGGACCGGAAAAATTGGTAACTGTTCAGCCCCCAGGTCCGGTTACACTATAAACCGGTAAATCTTTAAAACCTGTTGAAAAGTCAGAAAACCATTGACTCGGCGCGATCGAACCACTAAACCATTCGACCCGAACAATGGTTTGTAGGTTATAATTTTTATTTTCACTGATTTAAATAAAATTAAAAAACAAAAAACAAAATGACCCTCATATCCCCAATCCCATCCCTTACGTTCAGGGTTAGAATGACCCCATTTCTGTTCTAACCCTAACCTCCTCTCAGCCGTCACACCCAACTGACCATCTATGATGACATACAATGACCGACGACGATTTACAGCATCCGGCGATGGCGGTGAGCTTCATTTATGGTGGCCAACGTTGATTTTGCAGCAGATCCAACAGTAACAGTTGTGGGTTGCGGAAGTAACAGGTTTGGCGATTTACTTGCAGCGGCGGCTGACGATTTTATAGCGACTATTTTGCAACCTTAGCTGTAGTGAGGGTGATGGTATATTTCTTGCCCACTATTATCCCATACGTGCGAGAGTAAGTTTAATTGTTCTATCTGCAACCTTACCTGTAGCTTGGCAAACTAATGAACGGTGATTCCCAATTGACTTTCAGGAACTTACCAAAAGGAAGAATCCCTCTTCATAGTTCCTATGTAGGATAAAGTTGACCAAAAACCTCACAAACCACTCACCCAACCCAAGCGCAATTTTTTAAAGTATCAATGAAACCTCCCTCACCTCACCAGTCACGACTGAATTGAGTTTCATGCTCTCGGGAACCACCAATTTGGAAACCCAAAATTTTTGCATTTTTTATTTTATTTTATACCTTCAGGCTCGAAGGACTAAAGGTCGGGTGGTTCCCAAAAGTTGAAAATATATTTTTTATTTTTAATTTATTTATGAAATCACGGGTTGAACTGTTTGACCCGGACAGTTGAATTGCTTAATCGAAAACCGGTCCCCTGACCGGTTTTGTTTCCAGTTCGTTTTTAAAAATCTTGCTATGATCTTGTTACTGAGTTAAATGAGTCAATTGTTCAATTGGGTGGGCTACATAGATCTTGAAAAATTACCCAAAGAAAAGATCACTATAATCACACATTATAGCACAAAGTTATGGTGCCCAAAAGGTTGCATACATATTTAATGTGCAATCAGTGACTTGGTCACCAAGTTGAATGGGTCAATGGACATCCAATTGGGTCAAATGGTTTTTGACCTGGTCAATTATTTTTAAGAACATTCCTGGTTTTACTAGAATCGAACTCAAAATCACGACAGGGTAACGATTTGAACGATTCAACCATGGATCAATGACAAGTTGAAAACACTAGATGGCATCATAGCCATAGGGGTAGAATTAGTTAATTGTCAGAAAACCTAAGGATATTTTAAGGGATTTTGCAAAGAATAAGGATATTGATAGTCCATTTCCTAAAACTTAGGGGGTAGTTTAAAATATTTTCCCTGTATTTTTATCAATATATACTACTATATAAAGGAAATCAAATTTGCTCCTCACATAGTGCACCTCACGCCAACCCCACATTATATTGCAGCCCTAGGAACATCTTTCCATGAATGATAAAACCAAGTATGGGAGATATTCCCAATGTACAACTAAAAATGAAGTGAGGTTGGTGTGAGATGCACTTTGTGAGCAACAAATCCATTACTAATATTTGCATTGGTTTTGGTGCATATAGATAATAAAAGTTAAATTTAATTATATAAATTCAACTTTATATCTTTACCTTTTACTTTCATAGGTGCATAGCATATTTTCCTTTGCTTGGTTTTGGGCATGTCATAAAAGTTAAATCGAAATCTAACCAAATACCATATATAGTTTTTTTGTTTACTTTTTTACACAAGTTTCAATAAGGGTAAATTGGTGAAACCTTCCTCCAAGTTTAGTATTTGCAATCACCTATTTGACATAATTGCAAGTAGACCCCCTCCATTAGCATCCTCTAACAATAGATGTGAAAATGTACAAAATACCCATGTAATTACTATTGAAGCTGGTTTCTACATGAAAATAAACAATACAAACTTAATAAACAACAACAAAAAAAAAAATTTAAAGTTGCAGCTTTACCTTTGAGCGATTGATATAAATGGCAAATCTGAAAAATAAGGCCTTATTTGGTTTGTAGGAATAGGAGTATGGAATTGGAATAAACAACTTTTTGGTTGGGTGGAACCAAAATCTCATTATTGTTCCTATTGGAATGCCCATTCCCTGTCCCTCCCTTGGGAATAAAATTCCATTCTTGTTAATTTCAATTTTCATTCCCATTCATGTCTGAACCAAACAAACCATGGGAATATAATATTCCGATTTCAATTCTAAAGGATTTCCATTCCTATTTTGATTTTAATTAAAACTGTGAATCAAATGGACCTAAATTAATTTTGGAAAAGAGATCGAAAGGGTTTTAGCTATGGATACACATGAGAAAAATTTGAAAAAAATAAATATTTTGATCAAAAGTAACTTTATGAATTAGTTTGGACATTTTAATAACTATTTATAAAGGATTACAACATAAGGGTCTATTTGCAACTATGTGAAAAAGTTCAAGAGATATAATTACAATCATGGTTTCTAAAATCAACGGTTTTTGAAAGAAATTCGGTTTTAAAGAAAAATGAACCAATCACCTGACCGGTTTCCTGTCCAACCGTCTGCTCCGATTTTGAAAACCATAATTACAATTATCAAACTTAAGAAGATTTCAGCAGAAACTTTACTAAGGTTTCAGCAATTTACCCTCACGTGTCAGTGACATGCCATATTTTTCTGCTTGAGTGACAAAGATACCTTTGTAATTCCTCTTGTAATTCCTTGAACTCTCGAAGGCAAATAATAAAAAATTGAGCTGATGTCATATGAAAAGCACTCTCTCGGTTTCGAAACGCGACCTGGCAAGCGTCATAAACTGTTTTTTCCTCGAGGCGGTCTTCACCTGAAAACAATCGCAGAGACACAGATCCGTCACCGGCGCCGGAGGAAATATCATTCAGCGCTCCTTTTCTCCGTTTGTTTTCTTAAATTTTCATAAAATTTGGCCTTCCTCGACCCCTCTACTGCTATCTGAGTGTTCCCATTTCAAGGTTTAGGGTTTTGTTCCAAGATATTTTTAGAAATGAGCTATCGTTGTCATCGTGGCAGTTTCAGTAACAGAAGTGCCTTGTTTTATCCATGAAGTTCAGAGTAGACAAATACGGCTTAGCTAGGTTCGGATCCTCCGAGTTTTGGATTTCAAAACCCTATCTGCGAAACAAGAAGGTTAAAGGTGCGAATTTTTAGCCTTTCATTTGTTTCCTTTGATATTTAGTGGTTCATGCTTCCCTTGGTATTCTAACTAGTCATGGGTTGTACTTTAAATTCCTCATTTTTTGGAGTTAATTAATAGGAGGTCATTGCCTACCAAATGAACATTTAAAAAATAATAAATTTAAAGAAACAAACTGGCCTATATGTTTTCTTGGTAATTTGGATACTGTGATTCATCCACTTATTTTTGCATGTATTCATGCACTTCTTTATGGAGGAATGTAGTGCTCACTTCTGTTTCTCTACGTTACATTTTTTGTATCCAGTATCTATTATTTGTCATGTGCTTATTTGTCAGTGTGCCTATAGGCTATAATTTTGTTTCTCCCCTTTATTTTCTGTTTCTTGGTTTATGAATATCTACTGATTATTTGATTGCTTATACCTGCCATGCCTTATTTTTATGTATAGGGAATTGATATTCAACAATATGTGGATGAACCTGAATGCAAGCGTCTAGGACAAATTTGGGTGAAAATGTGATCAATGATGTATAGGTGCAGGGTAAAGCTGAATTGGGTATGAGCTTTTCCACCATGGATATTGGTTTAACTGAAGATGATGCATTTTTTGAGCCTTATTTGGGAATGGAATTTGACTCACATGAGGAAGCATATTCATTTTATGAAGAATATGCTAGTTGTGTGGGGTTCACTGCAAAGAAAAAGAATACAAGTCGGTCAAGAAGAACCGGAACATTTATTGATGCAAATTTTGCATGCTATAGACAAGGAAGCAAGATTGCAAAACCTGGGGTTGTTAACCCACGGCCTACTCATAGGACAGATTGCAAGGCAAGCATGCATGTGAAAAGAAGACAAAATGGGAAATGGTATGTGTATAACTTTGTGAAGGAGCATAATCATGAGCTTCTGCCTGCCCAAGCATATCATTTTAGAAGCCGCAGGTGCATGGATGCCATTAGCAAGAAACATTTGGAGTTTTTGCATGCTGGCCAGGTACAAATAAGTAAGATTTGTGCTGCAATGCCCAATCAGTGTGATGGAGATCAAACTGTTGGTTTTGTGGAACTTGTGAGAAATCAAATGAAAAAAGCACGTTTGGCCATAAAACCAGAGGAAGCACAGGCTCTGCTTGATTATTTTATACGTATGCAAGAAGAGAATGCCAACTTCTTTTATGTGATTGATTTGAATGATGAGCAACGTTTGAAAAACGTGTTCTGGGTTGATTCCAAAGCAAGGCATGATTATTTCAGCTTTGGTGATGTTGTTTGTTTTGATACCACATATCTTACAAAGAGATGTAATTTGCCGTTTGTTTCTTTTATTGGAATGAACCATCAGTATGTTCCAATATTGTTCGGATGTGCCTTACTTGCAGACAACACTCCATCAACTTTTGTCTGGTTAATGCAGATGTGGTTTAGAGCAATGGGTGCAGTAGCTCCAAAGGTGATAGTTACTGATCAAGATAAATCTATGAAGGCAGCAGTTGCAGAGGTTTTGCCAAGTACATGCCATAGATTTTGTTTAGGGAATATATTAAGGGATGTACCTGAGAAGCTCAGTCATGTAATGAAAAGAAATGAGAATTTTATAGAAGAGTTTAAAAAGTGCATTTCTAAGTCGTGGACAGAAGAAGAATTTGAAACTCAATGGTGGGAAATGATTCACACATTTGAACTTGGGGAGGATGAATGGATTAAATCATTGTATGAAGATCGTAAACATTGGGTGCCAGTTTTTATGAAGGATACTTCTTTTGTTGGGATGTCTACTGCTCAACGATCTGAAAGCATGAACTCTTTCTTTGAGAACTATGTGCACAAGGAAACTACATTAAAAGATCTTTTGGTGCAATTTAATGTCTTTATACAAGATGGGCGTGATGAAGAATCTAGAGTAAATTCTGATACATGGCTTCCAATGCCTTCTTTGAAGTCCCATTCACCTTATGAAAAACAAATGTCTACAGTATACCCTCATGAAATATTCCAGAAGTTCCAACTGGAGGTTTTGGGAACAGTTGCATGTCATCCTAGGAAAGAGAAAGAAGATGGGTCCAAGAAAATATATAGGGTCCATGACTTCGAAGCACAAGAAGAATTCACAGTGGCATGGGATGAAACAAAATCAGAGGTATGCTGTCTATGTCGTTTGTTTGAACATAAAGGGTTTCTCTGCAGACATGCAATGGTTGTTCTGCAATGTTCAGCTGTGGTTGAAATCCCATCCAAGTATATACTAAAAGGATGGATGAAAGATGCAGGGAGTAGGCATATCATGGGACAGAGATTGGAGGAAGTGGGATCTAGGGCAGAACGCTGTAATAATTTATGCCATCGAGCCCTTAAGTTGGGTATTGAAGCCTCATTATCTCAAGAAAGTTACAATATTGCACTTCATGCAATTGAAGAAGCAATCGGAAAATGTGCAATAGTTAATAACCCTATAATACACTCTGCAAATCCTAGCATATCTGACCTCCATGGTTATTCTGGTGCTCAATAGACCATAAAAAGATATGGTATGCCCAACTAAAGTTACCATCATGATTAAGTTGCAGAAATTGTTTTCTTTTCTTTCCTGACTGGTGAACTTAAGTTACATCAGTCAATGATGATTTGATCTATTGTATAATAAGTCTTTTACCATGTTTTCACATATGCAGGGACAGTTTAATGCACCAATGCCTGTTAGTGATGCTTAACATATTGGCACAACAGGGCATGTGTAATGCTATGATGTTCTGTGGTATGCATATCCATTGTATACTCACGAGAATTTTTTTTCCATCATTAACATATGATTATAATATTCTTGTTTGGGGTTCACTATTTGTAAGGGTCTAAAATTCACTCCATCTACTTGCATGGCTACAATGACAAGCAGAGATAAAAAAATGGCGGAGAAGTACGGACAGGCCCAATGCAGATTTCTGATTTCTGATTTGCACTGCAGAGCTATAAACATTCAAAATGTCAAAAACCCCCACTCTACACACCAATGCCCGCCCATGAATTGGCATTAATTCCGAACTGGCACCCACCCCAACTGCACTTTGGGCCTAAAAATTCTGACCCTAGGCTGAACCGTCATTCTCCTTAAAAAATGGGACGGAGATGGTTATGTTGATTGATTCTGAGTATGCATATATACAATCAGGATTTAGCAAGGCAGGTGCTAATTCTTTGGTTAATGAAACCCCTTTATTAGATATGAAATTCTTTTTTTTTTATTATGTAAATTGTCTAACCATCTTTCATGATGTAACTACGCTAAATGTACTGAAGTGGGAGCTCTTAAATGTATGATGTATCTTTTATTTGGAATTGTAAAATTGATGTGAAGATTATTGTGATAACTCTAGAGTTTCTGTGTTTATGTAATCAGATTTGGATTTTGCAATATGCATCTAATTAATAATAAAAAACAAAATAAAAAATACATGAATTTTATAGAAAAATTTGGATACATTATTACTATCATTGTCATCATCTAGAATTGCCACGTGTAAAGCCCATGCACACTTATTAGTATGTGCAAAAAATGAGAATTAATGTTATTGATGACAGAAATAGTTTAACATATAAAATTAGAAAAAAAGCAAAAAAAGAGAATTGTTGTCTTACACATGACCCATTAATTGAGTAAAAAAAGACAACAATCCAACCAGTCATTTCATCATGTTATTGACGCAGCCAATGGTTTTTTGCCAAAAAAAGTAGTTCTGGTGAAACAGACCCAATAATATGGCCAGATGACAAACAAATCAGTTTGACTGAACAATTCAACCATGGGTTCAGAACAATGAAATAAAGTAGGAAGATTTGAAGCTGGGTCTTTAGGTTGAAAGGCAATAAATCTGCTATTACACCATGTTTCAAATACTTGTCTTTGTTACATGGGTGCTGATAAGGACAATAAAATTATTAGAGAAATCGAGCTTCGACCAATTAACCCCACCTTGAATAATACACAATAAATAAACAAGAATAAGAGAAAGTGTAACTCTCATATTGGGTTACAAAGTTTCGAGTGTCATTGACAAGCCTACATGTGACTGGACTCTTCTTTTCATAATGTCCTATCTTCTTAGTGTATCTTTTTTTATTTATTTATCAAAAAAGTGTAAGATTTAAAAAGAGGGAATTGAATGAGGTGAAAAGTAGTAATTCAAATTATATTTTGAACCTCACAATTAAATATGGATTAAATTCAAAAAATGAGTATTTTATCCAATATTCGTATTTTTAATTGTAGTGTAAATATAAAATTATAGATGTGCTATATATATATTTATTTATTTCTATGTGTGTAAAAATAATTCTGATATGTCATACTTATTTTTTGTTTAATATGATAAATATATGATATTATACATTTGCGTAAATGTTTTTTTTTTAAATTTGTGCATTTTTTATATTTTAATATGATAAAATATTAAAATATTTACCACTCTTTCCTCCATCCCCCTATATGGTTATACCACATGATGGGTTTCGATATTCCTTCCTCTATTTGCAAAGAATTGAACTCAATTTGTAGAGATGTTTTTTTTTTTGTGGGGAAGAATTCAAAGTAAGAAACTTTTTTATCTTAGGGATTGATAGGGGTAGTTTGGGCTTAAGTTCCCTTATATTATGAATAGAGCCCTCCTTTTAAAACTAGCTAAGCTTGGGGGTTCATGCGTGATGACGACTCTCTTTGGGTCAGGCTTCTGAAAGCCAAATATATGCGCAATAAGTCTTTTTGTGGCTTGAGGAAGAAGCCAAGGGATTCTCCTCTTTGGTCTTCTTTATTAGATTGTCGGGACGACCTCTTTAAAGGGTGTAAGTGGATTATCTTAAATGGTTGGAACACCCATATTTTTTTATGATCCATTGATCAAGGGTAAGTTAATTAATAAGCTAGCTTCATGGTCTCTGCCCTGTAATAAGGTTTCCATGCGTATTGATCATTCAGGGAATTGGAATCGAAATCTCATCAACTCAAAATTTGATAGCAATACTGCTCATGAAATCTTGACTACCACTGTGCCAGCATTTCCCTCTTACGAAAATGATATTATTTGGTTACTGACTCCTTGTAGTGATTATTCTGTATTCAGGATATAAATTATTGAGTCACCACGATGAGGAGTCCTTCAATGCTTCATGGGTATGCCTAGGTCTCTTGGCAATCTCTCTGGAAAAATAAACTCTTTCTTCCCCGATTTAAGGTTTTCCTTTGGAGATGTTTTTATCGAGCTATTCCAGTCTGTGAGGTGCTGACTTACAGATATCCCAAGTTAGATCCTATTTGTAAACTTTGCTTTTCAGTCAAATGAAACGGCGACACACTTACTATTTCAATGTCCAGTGGTGGTTCCCATTTGGTTTGTTGTTTTAGGCATGCGTTTGGACCCTAATGACCCAAAAGACCTTCATTTTTTGCTTACTGAATGGACTAATATGGACAACCTTCATCATCATGATAGTGAATCTCTCTCTCCCTTTTGGTTCAAGGTATTTTCATTAGACCTGTTCATGGGTCAGGTAGCCCGAAGGCCCAGCCTGGTTCATTATTTTTTGGGCTTGGACAAAACTTTAGGCCAGTGGGCTTGAGCTTTTAAATAACAAGTCTGGTCATTTTTCTAGTCGGGCTCAGGCTTTTTCAAATAAGTTCGGTCCAGGCCTGAGCCTGGTTCGATACTATTACATATAATAAAAAAACATTTACATTATATATAATATATATATTTAAATATTAATTTACTATTAGGAAATATAAATTAGTTTATTAATTTATTAATAAATTAATAAAATATTAGTTTATAAAAGTACACTGAAAATAAGATGTTTTGTGTACAAGTCGGGCTTCGGGCTTTATATAAGGGCCAAGTTTGGGTTTAGGTCTGCACATTTTCTGTTGATAAAAAGGCAAAATCCGGTCCGATCCCTGCCCAAGAACAGGTGTAATCGTCACTCTTTGATAATAGTGTTTTCTCTTCCAGAGCTGTTATTTTTTCTACTAAAGGTTACTCTGTAGACTTTGTTAAAGACATCTACTAGGACAGATTGATTCAGGTGGTAGATTCTTTTGTGTCTAGTTCTTCTCATTGGTCCAACCCCCCCCCTTCCCCCATTAATAATGATGGGGCATCGGTTTATCATTGAAGATCACTTGGGTATTTTCATTGTGGGGGTTGGGCTACGGTGGTTCACTGTTCCTCCCCTAAACAAATGGAGGCCACTGCTATCTTTTAAGGCTCTCAAGTTTGTAGAATCACTATCGATGGACAATATTATTTTGGAATGTGACGCGAAAGTTATTGTACAATCTTTGGTTTCAATTTCTCACCCTCCTTGAGAGGGTCCGGATGTAGTAGGCACGTTAGGAAAGCACCTATAGCTTTATGACACCTGTTCTAGCTATTAGGTGCCTTACGTCTAAACGTTTTTGTTCGTTAGGTGTTTATCTATTATTTTATTATTTGTATAAAAAAAAAAGAAAACCTGTCCTACTTAATGCGCCTTTCACTCCATATCCAACTTTCTGCCGTTTAGGGCTCTCCCACCTTTGGACCTTCAGTCGTTGCAATTGGTTGGTTGGGGCAGTAGTTCTTGAAGCTCTCACTTGCGATTTCATCTCAAGAAACCCATTCATCCAATCTCTAGCCATCGTATTCCTCATTCACGGGTCCCGAACTTCTCCCACCTCTGGACCTTCAGCTGTTGCAATTTGTTGGTTGGGGCAACAATTATTTATTTTAGAGCATTCACCAAAAATAAAAAGATTTTAAGTAAATTACTAGTTTTGGTAGAAATTGTTTATTTTATGATACTAGCATAGATGAACTTTAATGATTATTGTATTTGTCTTGTTTTGTTTATTGAGAAAGACATAAACTATTATGGTTATGACAAAAAAAGACATAATTAATTCTTACAAGAAGACATGAATCAATTTCCTAGGAATATGCATAAACTATTCTCACAAACTGATAGAGTTAATACAGGTGTTTCTACTTAGAGGTGTAAATCGGGCTGTGCCACCTGCGACCTGGCATGACGGTCCGTGGGCCATGCCAGGCCCGGCACGACCATGCGGGCCGTGATGGGCCTGGAGTTTTAGGTCCACGGGCTAGCACAACATGGCACGACTGAGCGGGTCATGCCACCCATGGCCCGTAGGACGACACGGCCCAACACGACCTATATATATTATATATATTTATATATATTTTATATATAGTTATATAATATTATATAAATTATAATTATATAATAATATATGGTATATAATATATTAATAAAATAGATATTTTCTTTAATTTTATTATACTAGTTTATTTAATTAATGGATTATTGCATATATAAGCAATTTTATACACAAAATTCATATAAAATTAAAATTTTAAGTTTTTTGTCATTTTTTTTAAATAAATAGCTTTGGCCCGATGCACGGCCCGACCTGGCCCAAGGCTCGGCCCACGGGCCAGCCCAGCCTACAACACGGCATAGGCCCGGGCTGTGGTCTGTGCTGGGCTGTGTAATGGACACGACTCCCGGCAACACGTTGCGTCGCAACCACAGGCAACAACGCGCCTAGCGGCACGCATCGCCCGGCAGCAGCATGCACCACACGGAAGCAGCACGCGCCTCACAGCAGTAGCAAGGGGGGTCGCGCGCGCCAGCGGTAGAACGGGGCCCACATGCCAGCTCATCCAGGTGGACCCACACTTATCCGGCCACAGCAGCCCTGCTCGCCAACGCCAGCTGTACCTTTCCCTTATCCCCTATTTTTGTGTTCCCCTTAGAAGTAGGAGTTYGAGTTTYGHTAGAAGTTTAAGTTRCG